AATACTGAGATTTGCTCCTTCTAGTATCCTTACACATTACAAAACATTGTAGTCTAAACATAAATCTTTATTTAAAGTCAATGCATATCTGAATCAACCCGTTATCTATTGTAACAATGTATATCTGAATCAACCCATATCTGTTGTAACAATGTACATCTGAATCAAATCATATCTATTGTTACAAGTCAATGTATATCTATTGTTACAAATGGGTTGTTAAACATATCGTCGTCACTTTCAACGGGTTATTTTGAGACTAACACATGGTTATATTTATTTGCTATGGTAGCACGTGCATGCGGGGGTGCGGAATTAAGCCCGGACATCTATTCATCTTCCGATTCCAATTTTCAAGGGTTCATCTACGTGCACGCCAATGTGTACACCGGTGAACGTCGATTGTTGTTCCCATCTGAACGACTAGTCACACTTTCGTTGTCAGTGCCACAGACGTTACTTCTGTCAAATGTGGATCGGTTTTGAAGAATCCCGTAGGCTCATTTCGGAACACGCCGTGATTTACATCCTTGACATTCTAATCAAGAGTTCCTCAACCGCTCGACTTTAACAGCCCCTTTAATTGATGTCTACACTGTAACAAAAATTTCCGTGAAAAAACGTAAAAAATTCCGGAAACAAAAATTACCAGGAAACTTTTATCCGTATTTGTTTTTCCTGTAATTTACAGAAATTCCTTCAATTAACATAAATTCCATTTTCAAATTCAGAAAAAAAAATCCTGGTAAATTTTCTTTCCTGAGCATGAAGATGATAAAAATTTCATTGAATTAACCATTGACTTTATACCCGTGCGTCAAATAGCTTTATCTAACGTCCGCTTCCACCGAAGTGATATCGCAGATAATCTTTAAACATAACCTCTTTTCGCTAATATATGAATCGAGAGCAAGGTATCACAACCCGCCACTCGTCAGTGGTTGGAGGATTTCAGTGGTTGACTCTGCTATAGAGACAAACTGACTTACACTGGCCAACGGGTTGTACTATCTAGATTTAAGCCTGCTTGATTACCAGATATTACAACATTTCCACACGAGGTATTAAAACATATTTTTACATATTTATGAAAATACTTACAATCTGATTTCCGTATGATGAATAACAATACACTTTATAGATCTTATAAATAATGGAAATTAGATATACATTTCAATTAATATACCAAACGTTACAATATATGATTCTTCATATTATGGTTAATCCATTGAAATGAATACTATAACATGCTCATTATTATAAATGATTATATATGTATACGATTACTTATCGTTGTACCGCTTATCCCATAAAATAACAGAATTAAGTCCATTACAGAACGGAATAAAACATTTTATCCCTAAATTTCACGGAACTTCTTTGTCATTCCACCGTATATTCCGTAAAATAACAGGATTAAGTCAATTATAGAAGGAAATAAAACATTTTATCCCTAAATTTCACGGAAAGTTCCTGTTAAATACTGAATATTCCACAGAAATATATAAAACACGTAATTTGAAGAAATAATTCATGCTTTTAACACAATTTTACCAAAAAATCCTTCGATTAACAGAAAAAAGGTGTTTAACTACGGAATTCGGCCACATCAAAAATGGATATTTTTTACAGTGTATAATAATAACGGCGCTTGTCTCCATACCGAACGTTTTATATATAAAATATTTGCACTTGTTTGGCAAATAAGAATATATAAAAAAAATATCATTTGGCTCTTTTCTTCTTATTAAATCATTTCTCTCAATAACCTTATTGCGGAAATCTCATTTTCCTATTGAATCATTACCAACTTTGTCCATGATAGACCAACATTTAATTCTACTCATTATGTTTGATGACACTGGGTTGTCACATAGTCATGTAAACATAATAATATATCAAGTCAAAAATTTGTACCGAGTCCAAATTCCATGTAGCATATCATACCAGACGTGAGTGAAAAGGACGGCAACAGTATTTGGCCTATAAAAAACGTTTTCTGTTTAGATTTGAAAAACTTAACCGTGTCTTGTCGTGTATCTGTATCTTTAAATATAAAATAAAAGACCATACACAATCAGAAGTGCTTTTTATGTGACCAATGATTTGCATGACTCACGATGGGAGCAAACAAATTTGCGTGGGCGTAATAAAATTGCGTGTCTGTTTGGAGCACCTGAAAGTTATGGTACTGCTTATTTAAAATTGCTTGCATTTTGTGAATTGTCCGTTCTAAAATTTGCGGTGATACAATTAAAGGTGACAATTTGAGATCATCTAAAAAAGACACAATTAAAATTGACTGTTCAATTTGATCAGTCACGAGGTGAGACATAGTGATAAATGTTTCTTCAACACCCCTAATCGTTGACTGCATATTATTTGTAGCGAACAATATAGCGTCATGATTTTGTCGTACGCCGGCGATGGTATTATCCAACCTTTGTTGCTTCGCGGGTAAAGCTTAAATCTCTTAATCTCCTAATCCTTTTTCTGTGCTCATAGTTATCTGGCTAGGAATTAAAACGATACGTTTCTAATTAAACGTCTAAAATAGTATTTTTATAATTAAAAGTAAGTTGTAGGTTCGTAGATATTTTACTCTACTACAATAGTTGGACCACAAAGCTGTTTCCTTTATAGCTACATGTAACTATCCGAATAAAATTGGTGGCCCAGAGCAGTGGTTTGTAGAAACGTTGATAAATCAACATAAACGGAATCAGGAAGAGCTTAAGGTCTTCCCGAGAGGCATGTGGACATATCCAGCTAAATCAAGTTTGACATTAGCGGGATTTACCCGAATGGAAATTAATAAAAAAATCTGGAAAATTACAGTTAAATGTGGAAAGGCAGAGTCCAGGTGCGAATGAGTGAGACGTTTATAGTCGATTTGACCTAGAGGACTGGGACATTATTGCTAAAGAGACCCAGTATTCGTTCGGAGTATCAAACACGCATTACCCCCAGGGAATTATTCATTAAAGTGTTATGTTGTATTATTTAAAAAAAATTTAATTTTGTATGAACTGATTTAAACTACTGACTTTTATGTGTTCACTGATCTCTAATTATTTGCCTTTATATTGTTTTAGATAAGATTTATTATTACATTCCCGTTCGAATGTTGCTATAGTTTTGCATGTTTTTATTTATTCTGCATAAGCAATTAAATCGATATTATCGATGCCGTAGATTAATTCATAAACACTTTAGCATATAAGCTTCTTTCGAATATTATGTTTCATTTAATTCCAAACTCAAGTGTTAGTTAATTCATAGTATAGTTTAATAGAGTAATGTTTAATTGTGGTGGGTTGACGCACGTTTTGTATTGTCTGTGATATATTCTTGGTCCGTAAATTTGATAGCATGAAATGAAATGGGGTTTAACGTCCTACTGTTCTGCTCCGAAATGGGCTTATGAAGACGGGCATACGCCATATAGTGTGCTATGACGGAAATTTTACCCGGACAGCGGCACTACGGTCTACTCTTATATCGAATTCCAACTGTCAAGGGATCTTTTACGTGCACGCCAATGTGTACACGGAACCTCGGTTTTTCGTCCCATCCGAACGACTAGACAGTTGTCCTTGTCAGACCCTCCGTTTTGCATCACTGACAAGGGGGAACCACGCCGGAAAATCTGGATGAACTTTCTCGGCCGATGCAGGGATCGAACACCCGAACTCCAGGCTAGCGAGCCAGCGTCTTACCCACTTAATTAGCCACCGTGACACCCCCCCCCCCCTTGATAGCAAGAAGATCACGCTTTAAAAATACACAATAATGTCACTAGTATTACATTGCTGCGACCAGTCATATTTTATGTGTAGGATAAAGCACGAGACTGAGGTTATGCTGGGGAAAGAAAGACTGAAGAAAATAACCCGAGAGAAAGAAAACCCGAGGCCGGTAGGCCGAGGCTTTTCTGTCGAGGGTTTTTTCTGTAGTTTTTCTTCTCCAGCACAACTGAAGTCGAGGACTTTATCTTGTTTATAAACCGTCTATGTTTACATGTACGCAAAATGAGAATATCCCCGAATTCCCACAAGAAAAACCTTATATCATGTTTTCTTATGGGGGAAAAAAACCTACCCTGGAAGAATAACCCGTTACAGGTTTAAAGAGAAACTTTCAGAAGAATAACCCCAAATCTCCCTGTATATATCCATAACCGCCCTCGACTTTCAGACCGCAAGTTATTCCGGGCATAGAATATACCCCAAAGATCAAAGAGATTTACCGTTACAGGTTTATAATTTATAAATAACTCCCCCGCATATAGTTGACTACAAACAACCATTAAAGTGACGTTCAGAAAATATATAACCCCACCCCTACACAAAATTTGAGTGACTTCGCTTTTGGTGAAACATCTAAAAGTGTATCGGATTCACATCACCTAGCTATACTTTCGTGCAAAGATTACGGGCAGCACAGCAGCTTCTCGAACACATTTTCGAAAACCGGACTCAGCTGTGTGCCTTGTTCCTTTAGGAACGGTTAAAACGCTCAAACTTGAAAAGAAACTCCCCGATCCCACACAAATCGACTATGCAAAACACGAAAAGTCGGATTTATCGGCATTCTTTGTTCCGAATTTTCGTCTGTGCCGAAAACTCAGAATTTTGTTCCACGATATTTCCGAATCAAGACCTAAAACTCGGAACTATTAAAACTCTAATAAAAAAATTCCGAGAATTCCGAGATTTAGGAATCTTCATAAATCCACCGTTGGTTTCTATATATTAGTGCTTTATTTATTCATATAGGCATATTGGTCGCTTATATAAATATAAATCACATGAAATGAAATTTATAGTGGCAAATCTCGTACTAAATGTAAATTCCATAACTGTAAAGACATTACGTTTACTGTTATAGTAGGGAGTATTGATCAGTTTACCTGAAAACACGTGATAATTTTTGCGCGTGTGCTATTTCAGTGTGTTATTGCAGACGACAGTTAGACGCATATAAGTTTGTTATGGGGAACGTGTTAGATGTTTTTGTTTTATCCTCTCGTCAAGTAAATTTTTGACATCGAAGAGGTGTTTAATATATTCAGTTCCATTGGTGACCAAACATTAATCGTGAACATTTGTTTTTAATTTACACAGAAGAAGACATTTTATTTATATATACTCTTTCAAATTTCATTCCACGATGTGGTACAGAGGAGGCTTCACACCTGTTGCCATTCCTATGGTAGCCATGACTTTCATGGCGGCATTTTACGCGCCTGTGTCATGTGAACCTGTGAATGTAGCGTTAAATAAAAACGTTGAAGCTCAATATACATGTGGATTTTACGGAGCCGAACAATATTATGACCACAAAGATGTAAAAGTTAGTCCGCAGCAAAGAAGCAAACTTACCTGTGCTACTGTCAATATGCATCCTCCATCCGCATTGGTTGATGGTTCGACCACTACCAAGTGGCAGAGTACTTCAAGATTGAATATTTACACTCAAACTAATCTTAATCCAGCAGGAACTGGGGATTTAGAAGCTATCCTAAAGATAGATTTGCAACAGGTATGGTATGGCAGTATGAGGAATGTAGGATGTCTCTCCAACGGACAAGGTTTTTAAACACTAACCATGACGACGCTAGTTAACTTCTATTAGCTACAGTTAGCACCTATCTCTAACCTCTTTTATTGAAGGAGGGGGGGGGGGGAGGGGTCTGCCTAGTTAAAAGGACAAAGTCATTAAAAAATTAGATTTAGTAGGAAATGTCTGTTAAGGCCCGGTCCCAGTGGCCGATGTACACAAAACGTATGCAAAAAGGACACAGCAGACGAGCAAACTTTCGGGGGTGGCTCCACCGTTTTCATCCGCTCCAGAAATGGACAAAATTGACGAAAATTAGCGAAAACAGAACGGAAAAGAACGAATGTGGGAAGTATGTAACTGGGATGTTAAATGGATGATCATCGGAAGCCTAGCGGATGAAACCGGATGGAAGTGGATGACAGCCCCGACATCCTTCAATATACAAGATACATCCCAGATACAAACGCTTTGTCCGTTTTGAAAATGCATACGCTTACATCCTTTCTATTTCCGTGCTACTAACGATGTATAGACGTTCCATGTACCTTATCTTTCCTCCCTCTTTCTGTTTTCTTCTGGAGCGGATGTGAGTTGCGAGGATGCCCAGAGGATGCAGAATGGATTCAGTGGACCTTTAACGGATGATAACGGACATGGAACGTTTGGTGCTCGTATATGTCACGCATTTACATCGTACACAGCAGAAATTTCATCCGTTATAAAAGTTTTGTGCAGCTCAAAACTTTTTGCACGGATGAAATCAAAGTGAACGGATGCTCGATGGATAGAGCGTATGAAACACGTATGCAATGAGTACACAACGGATGCATGGCATTTTCAAACGGAGGGCACGTTTTTTCCCCGTTTTCCATCCTCTTTGCATCCATAAGTGCAGTGGGACCGGGCCTTAAAGTTACTGGTATTGTAATAGAAGTTAAAATCAAATGCTAGATTTGTTTTCATTTTATTATATAATCAAACTTGCTGGGACAAAAAGAGAATTTGGCATCATTTTCTAGTGTCATTTTTAATCCCTGATTCTGGCTACAGGCTAAAAATCAAATTATTACACTTAAAAAATTTAATACTGAAAAAATTTTTTTTTAAACACTTAGAATTTCACGAATTTGGCACTTTCATTTTTCACTTTAATCTTAAAGCAACAGTTCCAGAAAAAATAAAATTTGACATTATGGGTTATTGAGACGTCTGAAAACACTATAGGGTACATGAAATTGTGTGTATATTATATTTAATTGTAATATCAGGCATAGTTTTGTTTATAAATATAATTCTATAACATTAAAGTTCTTAGAAGTGAAAAACTGATTTCCATGTATCCATTTTCAATTTTAAATGTTTTCTTTGAAATACTATAATCAATATGATAAAGTGGGGTATCAATAGTTTATTTAATATTTGAATGATTTATACTTTGTCAAGGATTTGCTGTTTCAGTTATAAAAGGTTGAAATTGTGCTTATTATGTATTGGAATAGAGCTCCATGTTCTCAACAAAATTCTCCCCATCACATTGTACAGATATCCATAAAAATTACTCTGATAACTGATATACTGTGCTGATATGCTGAACTCCATTTTTTGCCAGGTTTGATGTTTAAAATTTATAAAGAACACATTACCATGTTGGAATATTTGACATTTTGCCTCATTTTTATCTTTATATTTAGGATTTTTTAGTGGAGAAAATCATAATTAAATTGGAAGATTCTTTAAGACCAGATCGAATAGCAGTCTCTAAATCAAATGATGGAAACCAGTTTATTCCCTGGGCTTATAAAGTAACAGAACAAGATGACTGTAGTGGGAAATTTTCCTCATCTTTTAAACCATTACCAACAAGTTCAGGAGATACTGTCTGTGCAACCTACCCCAAACCCTTGCCACAGACATTTGAAACGGTTAGTACATTTATTTAAGTGACATAATGTCAAAAGACATATATACAGTTCACTAGTCCAGACTGTAGTGTGAGAATATTTAAACTATTCAAATCATATTATATCATTTAAAGATACATTAGTTAAGAGTTTAATAAAGAGTTGGCCATTCTTGCTATAATAATTCAAAAATAGATGATAAAAAAAAGAAAATTTTGAAAATTTCAGTCAAATTACTTTATTCGAAATGGAGTGGTCACTGTTGGAAGTTTGGACTAGAAATAGGCATCAACAGTGTCTGCACCCTGTACGAGAATTGCCGATCGTTTGATTGACAGACGATAACTCCACCCACATATTCTCGATTATCAAGTAACATTCTCAATGGCTATGGTACCCTCGCTTGGCAGGCCTATCATCGCCAGTCTCCGGTAGTGACGTCAGTGACTAACGGTAAACGTTAGCTTGGTCCGCCATTTATTGATTTAATTTTAAATGGACGACTGTTTAAATCCAAGCTGTATCTAAGCTATCCGAGGGTCTACAGAGTTGATTTTGAGCTTGTTATATAAATAAAGGTCTAATTAATAATTTCTATAACATCTGAAGCCTCAATACAGACTTGTAATAGGCAGATTTAGCTCTTGCATAATGTATGTTTAATATTCATCTTGGAAACACATTACTAACAGGTCCACTCTGAGTTCAACTATTGTGTCAAATTATTTGATTATTTGCTTTGTAAATGATAGTTTTTATTTGTTACATAATAAACAAATATATTTAATTTTTATCTGCAGATTGAGTTTGATTTCAGTTCAGTAGCTCCAGAATTAAGGGTAAGTGTAGTATAAAAATCTTTTATAAACGGTGTTTTTAATTAGGATCGAATAGGCCACTCCAATCTAATACATCTATTTTAACTTGCACCTGGAACATCTTTTTGGACTTAACAGATATTTCAAAAATACGTAAATTACCGGTATTTGAGTACAACTGTTTTTTTTTAGGAATGGAGAAGAGTCAAATATTTGGAGATAAGATTTTATAAGATGCCTTTGGTCTTTGCTGTTGCTGGAACTGCATTTGTAAGTAAATTCATATTTGAGTACTCGTAGTTGTAACATAAGTAGATTATTTTACCAAGTTATATCCTGTATATACATGTAGCATTAACTCTGCTATTAGTCTCAGTTATCTATAGCAACAGTATTTTGAATCACATTTTGACCATGAAGGCATTATTATGGGGATGGGTGGACAAATGTTCTAATGCACATTCTTTAGATCATAAAATCTGTGACAAGCAGTAGGGTCGCCTGCCTAACCTTTTGGGTTTTCTCCGAGCCCTCCGGTTTCCTCCCACTTCTAGTTTGTGTTGCGGAAATGTTAAACCCCAATTTTCTCCTCTGGAAATTTTATAAGTCATTAAAATGAATCATCTATTGATTTTCTTCAAATCATTGTAAAGACCTATTTATCAAAAGTCTACACCTGAATGCAAATTGAGCCATTTTGATCAATATAACAGCAACAGCTGTTGAATATATACATCTACTTTAGGTGGGGTTATTTCACTATTATACTATGTACATGAGTAATCGATTCCCTTGGTAAATATTCCAAATCAAATTCAAACTAAATCAGGTGTATTTATAGATATATAACAGTTGACTCACAAAAATAAGGCTAGAAAATATATAGATGAGGAGAAAGACAACTGATTCTCTGATGACCAAGATGATAATACTTTCCCTATAAAGATTGTTTCAGTATGAGGTGGGGTTGGGGATGACAGTCACCATATCTCTAAACAACATTAGTGTACAGACCTTTGGTCACATTATGATCAATGGACCCCACCAACCACTAATGGTAATAATACATGTAATGATAATGCTTTTGGTGAACAGAAGTAAACAGTTGGTATTGCTGCCATGGCATGAGACCTCAGTTTTCCCTCCCATCAAAAAGACTATAAACTTTACCTCGCCAGGCCCTCCAAACCGCACTTCTGACAAGAAAAACACACTCAAAAATCCCACAGGAACTTCCTCGCCCAACACCGGGATCAAACCCAGATCTCCTGGTAAGAGAGGACATGTCTTACCCACAGAGCCACAGTGTCTCTCCTCAATTATTTGTAAACAAGTTATTTTGCTTTTATGATTATATATTCTTTACCCTGATAAACATCTATACTGGAGTGGTAATATATCGTAACAGCAATAGTCAGAAGATGAACTAGTCACTTAATAGATGGAACTGTGGGGGGGGGGGGGGGAGGTTGTAATTATTTATCCTGGATTAGTGAAATTGATCATTTGTTTATTATGTTTTTGTATATATTTGGTTTATAGCAACATTATAGTATATCAGAATTAGAAGTATTGGCTGAATGTTCCTGTAATGGACAACAAATTGGATGTAAACAGGATAATACAACTAAAGAATATGTGTGTGAATGTGGTGGCAATACCAAAGGTCAATTCTGTGAAATGTGTATGTCATTCTTCAACCAGAAACCTTTTGTGTATGGTGTTCCTTGTGAAAGTAAGTCTAGTCTTATTTATAAAGTTACCTGCTAAGTTTATTAAAAAATGTCTGTTTTATAGATAGACCCACATTTTAATAGGGTTGTATATTGGTATTTGTCTGCTGGTTGTTTATATAGAGGTTTATGTTAACAATTAATCTTTTTGAAATTTGTGTGGAGACTTGTTCGTCTATATATCTTACTGAAAGGAAGAAGACTATTTTCAACAAATTTACTGTTACATAATTTTTTAAAACTTTGTGGGGTTATTCATCATAGAGACAGGAAGAATCTTATCGAATTTCCAAATTTTTGAATCTTATATTTCAAACATGCTTTGTGGCATAATCTCCCTATGCAAGTGTCAATGGAATTTATAAAATTTTGATAGGGTTTTTGTTTGGTCCGAAAGCAGAAATCATGGAGATATTTCCCTGTTTATTCTCTAATTTATATGAAGTCTGTGAACGTAATACTGAATATGGTAAAAGTTAGCCAGATTGGTCATTGGGGCATAAAGAAAAACCTTTTTGAATTTCAAATTTTTTGAATCTGTGTTTATTGAATAAATAATAAGATATTATTGTTTCAGGCTGTAATTGTATGAATCATGCTACTGAGTGTTCGTATGATAAAGATATTGATGCTGGTAAACAGAGTATAAATAGTACTGGACAGAAAAGTGGTGGTGGGAAGTGTTTGGATTGTCAGGACTATACAGCTGGTGTGTTTTAACTTTTTCTCTTTTCAAAATCAGTGTAGCATGTGTAGTGTGCATGTGATATTTCACTATTTTACCTTTTATGACATGAAATTCATTGTTTTTGCCACTGCCTGTCTTGTACATAATATACACTTAATGAAATAATTAGATTATCATATACAAGTACGTTTTTTTATGGGGAGCAAGTGTACCATATTAACAGTTACATGTATATTAGGCATTATGTTGACATTATGCTATAAAGCTGCTGATGTCACAATCAAGAATATGTTATACAGATGCAGAAAGCCAAGATAGTGTTTATCTCTGGGTTTAGTAACATGGTGTTGTCCAGGTCATAGATCTTTCAATAATTCCACCAGTACACTAACTCTGTAGGACTCTTACTTCATGTTGATTATCAATTGTAAACTGTAGCACCATGGGTCGTCTGTCAGACGTGGAGAGCGGACAACACCCTAAAACCAGTCGCCTCATCTGGCGTATAATCCATGCATCATTTCTTACTACATATTTTGGAACAGCCCTTGATTGTCTACTGTTGTCTCTAGTTCCATTTGTAATTTTTTAAATGGTTAGGAAGTATCTTTAAATGTCATTCTGACATTCCCCCTTAATGACGACTTGATATTGTGATTGGTATATTGCATCTTAAATAGTACAATTAACAGGAAGAACAAATACCAGAGTTTCTTGATTATAGTATTATTTTAAGCTCTGATACATAAGATACAAGCGTACACTAAAACCAAGTCATTCATTCTAACCTGCTCCCATGCAGGGAGCCGCGGTGGCTAGGTGGGTAAGGTGCTGGCTCACTAGCCTGGAGGTCGGGTGTTCGATCCCTGCATTTGCCGAGAAAGTTCATCCCTATTTTCCGACGTGGTTTCCCCTTGTCAGTGATGCAGGACGGAAGGCCTGACAAGGATAGCTGTCTAGTCCTTTGGATGAGACAATAAACCGAGGTCCCGTGTAAACATTGGAATGCACGTAAAAGATCCCTTGGCAGTTGGAATTCTATATAAAAGTAGGCGATAGTGCCGCTGCCCGGGCAAAATTTCCCTCATAGCACACTGTATGGCGTATGCCTGTCTTCATTAGCCCAGTATAGGAGCAGAACAGTAGGACGTTAAATCCCATTTCATTTAATTTCATTTGCTCCCATGCAGCCTCAACGAGTCTGCGGATGGAAATTGCTAAATCTTCCCCCTATAACAAACTACATGGCTGTCTCTCTCAAATCTTCATGGTGTCTAACCTAGAATGCACATTCTATTAATTATAGATTCACAGCTATTAATTATTCTCTTGGCTAATTAAGATGTAATTAATCGTGTGATTGATCACTCAAGCCAAATATGAAATGGTAACTTTCCAGTCACATGCTTTTAGACATGGAATCTATCCTTCAACTTAGACCTCTTTTCCTGTTATTCACACAATATTTCATAAACAATTTAATTTCTGTTTTAAATAAACTCATACCATAGCTAATATACAAAAAAAACATTATATGTATTTATCAAATTTTAACTCATGTCCTCTGGTGCACTTATATTCGTCTAATACAATTTCGCATGAATTATCAAATAGTATTACAACGCCTCCCCCCTTTAAAATTTATGCAAACCTATCAGGTAGAAGATTCCCCCCCCCCCCAAAAAAACTTCCCTTTTTCTAACCCAACAGCCATATAATTATATAATTATTCATGCAACATGCATATATATATATACGATTACTATACGATTAAACATACCAGATCGGGGCGAGTCTGCTGATAGAAATTGCTCCATGTTCTACTTCTGGAATTCAAGCGGCAGTCTGACCAATGCCCAAAGATGGGCCTTCTATTATCTAATTGGTCAAATATGACATAATTGATTATAACGATTGGTTAATTAGCCTAATGACATCGAAAACCACCTTATTATATGGATAGTGGAAACTTACAGCAGAAATTTCACATGTGATATCTGTTATCAACCTAGAATTAAATGTTAACCAAATTATAACTCTTTTTTATATGTCAACTTGTTAATAATTCACTTATTTTGATTTAAGTGCATATGAGACAATATATTAGCCAAAGATATTAATTAATACAATATAATGCTATTATTAATTTAAAGAGCAAAAATTCTAACAATCTTGCTACAAAACTCTTGGCGTTTAGTATCGTAACTCTGTAGCACTGTTACTCTCTAGTGATCATCAATTGTAAACTCATGTTGTTTAGTATCGTAACTCTGTAGCACTGTTACTGCCAGTGATTGTCAATTGTAAACTCATGTCGTTTAGTATCGTAACTCTGTAGCACTGTTACTCCCTAGTGATTGTCAATTGTCAGCTCACATCGATGATGTACTTTTTGGCATACGTAGCCCAAACCCAAAATTAGTTCTTTTATTAACTAACAAAAAATATGATAGGTTATGGATTTCTAGGCAACTTGATTATTTTCTGGAAAATATTTTGGCATGGTCTCTTTTGATCATGAGAGAGTACTATCAATGCTATTTGTGGGGCAAACCAGATTTTTAAACAAATAAGATTGCACACTTGCAATTATTTAAAGATATCACAGGATTTTTTTCTATTATATCATTTTCTCTTGAAATGTTTAGTACTTTAAATTTTAACTTGTATTCTACTATTGTTTATTACAGGCATAAATTGTGAGAATTGTTCACCATTTTTCTTTAGGCCTCTAAATAAAAGTCAAACTGATAAAGATGCATGTGTAGCATGTGGATGTTCTTCACTTGGATCAGATGCTAATCCTGTGTCAGGGCTTGTTGCTGATTGTATAATGAACAATGAAAGACTACTAAATTCAGGACAGGTAATTTCAATACCCCCACATTTTAATGTGGACTTATAATGTTCTTGTTCTGCCCATTGTAGAACTATAGCCCTACACTTTCCTTATATATATATATTCAAATAGATGCTTTTACTGTGAAAAACAAACATCTCAAGCTACTTCTTGTTAGAATACAATATATTTTAAAATCTGTGCTCGGATCAAAACAACCTGACATAGTAAACTATGTAAAAGTTATGTGTTCCTTATAGCAAGAAATATTATATTTATGTAATCAGTTGAACAATTTTCTATGCCATAGTAAATATCGCAGTAAATATGGCAAACATTATTTGTTTAGTAAATCTTTCAGAAATGTTGTGTTTGTGGCAACTGTCACATCTTATTTGTCACATTTTCTATGCCAAGGAAACTTTGTCATATAACTAAGTTTAGCTGAAGGTATTTTATAAATATAGACATCTAAAGGAAGAATTGATAAATTGTGATAAAACATTATATATTTAACATTTTCAGAATCCAGGGGATTGTTTTTGCAAGAAGAACGTTATTGGTTCAAAGTGTGATACATGTAAAGAAGGATTCTTTAATCTTAGAGTTGATAATAATGAAGGATGTGAAGGTATGTATGCAAAGGGCTGATGTTATTTCCAAATCTTTACCTACTATCTTAAATCAATAGACATTTTTTCATTTTCTGTGATAACATTCTTTATTGTTCATCCTTAGCAATGATCTCGAATAGCCTGCCAGGGAGACAATTGCATAAAATTGGCACTTTTATTATCAACTTTTCTAAGGTGAAATGTTATATTGTTCGTTTTACAGTATTTGTGTTATCTATGTCATCTAAATAGCTCCAAAACAATATAAGCACCATTCCCTTTTCAAAATCATTATTGTATTCCTGGGAACCTAAAAAATAGAATTTATTTTCCAAAGCACAAAAAGATATAATTTGAAATCATTAATATACTACTTTGTCATTTTGCCCTTGTTTATATAAAGAAAAATTAAACAGCCTGTTTTTACTGAAAATTTGAGATGGAGCCTGTTCATTTTGGAAAAAAGCCCTCAACTCTTCATTTACAACTTTTACCAGACAGGGATAAATTCAGTCGCATTACCAGAAGGGACTGGAATGGGGTTAGTGACCTTGCCCATCTACCTATCAACATATCCAACCACCTACCTACCTACGTTTTTTTGATTGCTCCAATAAAGCCAAATTTTCTTATCTTTGTAACATTTTATTTTAGAATGTGGCTGTTTTACATCTGGTACTGTTGGTGGAAGTACAGTTTGTGAAGCCGATTCCATAGGACAATGTCCTTGTAAGGCTAATGTTGGAAATAGAAAATGTGATGTCTGTAAAGATGGCTTCTATAATCTTGTTGCAGTTAATCTTGCAGGTTAGTTTGAAACCAGAAAATTTGTAGTCTAAATCAGATAGATTGATCTATTAAAAAAGAGTATTTTTAACAATTCAAATTTAGTATTTGTCCACCTTGTTTTATAGAATCAAAACAGTAGCCTAACGAATTAGATGCTCTGATTAGTTTTAGCTTGGAGCAAAGTGTGCTCTGATTTTCTTTGAGAAACTAATGAGCCATAAAAAAATGAAGAGAGGTGGGGACCACCTGAAGTTCATAGTTTTATTGATTACATTGGTAGTCTATTTCGACCCAGAACAAAAGCCAGTCAGATCTATATGCATTTGGGGCCATTGTAAATATAACAGAAGTGGAGACCATTTGAAATCCGTAGGGTTATAGATTACATTAATAGTATCAGTCAATTTTGTATGCATTTGAGGCCATTGTATTGCAATAATGAAACAAAGTTTAGATCTGTATATTTAATAAAATGTACAAATTTGAAATATTTGATTTCAAATATTATCTTAAGAGTATATAGCCCTTACTAAATTACATAAACAGAAGTGAAAAGACATTTGCATCAAGGATATTTTATGCCCATATTTATTGTCCGTCTGTAAATCTGCAATTCCTAGCGACCCCATATTTTATGTCAAATTTTGATGAAAATTGGTATGTGACTTGATATTCATGAGATCACAGATAAGTTTGAATTGTAACATAAATATTTGACATACCCAAAATATATGAAAAATAACTTGTGTAGTGATATGCATGCTTTGCATCGCTGCCTAGATGTGGATAGCCAGTAAGCCGAAAACTCTCCACATCCAACAGGTGACGCATACTCTTATCTGCTACATATTTTAATAGCCGTGATCGTTTAGTATTTGTAATTCTCTTCCTTTTTATGTTGTGTCTTTTCACTCTTACTATCTCAGTAGTTAAGACGTTTGTCTTACCAGGAATAACGATGCATCAGTTCGCTTCTACATTTTATATCAACCTACATACATATGCATAATAGATTACATTAGCATACTTAAAATTAACATTTTTCACTCAAACCCAACTCCTGTAAAAGTCTAACCAGCATGGCTAGACTCAGGAAACTGCTACAGCATAAGGTCATCTAAAGAACCAATTATGTGTTGTCTACCCTCTCTGAGAATTTAGTGGCAATCTCTATAGATTTCGCATGGTGTCTGTTCAGAACCCAGTGATATCTAATCTGAAAAGGCCCGAAAGTCTCTTTATAAGACGTATATTGGTATTGGCCTTTAAAGTCTATCACGCTCAGATCTGTGCACTTACTGATGTGATTGGATACTAAGCCAAATGGTGCAATAAGAATTTTCCAACACAAGTCATGGCATGATCTAATTTTAACCCATCAAAACATCATGTTTATCGACCTATAGAACATTTCATGTATCAAAGTGTCACAGGTTTCTGTTATTCTCAATTTATCTCAAAACAATAATTGGACTCTTACATGTACTAACATTGCAGTTAACCAAATATATATTTGTTAAAAAATGCTATTAATTTAAAGAGCAAAAATTTTTACCAATCTTGCTTCTATCAATCTTGCTATACTTGTCAACACATTAGGGTCAACAGTTTTTGTTCAATTTTAATGAATTTGGTAGCAGTTCGTCAGTTATTTGAATAGTTATTAACCTTAACTTACTTAAAATGCATCTATAATAGCTAGTGGAAGTGATAGAGTTTACCTTGATTGATGAAATCTTGGATGAGTTCCAAATTGAACACATTCATCATATGAAATTTGCAGAGTACTTGCCCTAAATCTAGCAAAGAAATAGCATGTTGATGCTATAAGAGAGTAGATTTCTCATCCAATTTGGTGAAACTTGGTATGTGACTTTATATGTATGAGATAGAGTGTGCATTTCTCATTCGTTATTTATAAAACTTGGTAAGTTACCTTTTATCTGTGAGATCACAAATAAGTTCGGATTTGATTGAGATTAAGCAACTATTCGCTGAGTTATTGATCTTGTTTTATCCTAAATACTTTGAAAATGGCTTGTGAACACAATAGAGTCTACATATTTCATCTGATTTTGATGGAAGTTGGTATGTGAGTAATTGTCAAGAATAGCTAGTGTGAAGGTATTGGGAGTTTTCATACAATTTAAATTAAGTTTGTCATGTGGCTTTCTATTGGACATTTTCATGTGGACGTATATTGTTGTCGCCCCTGTCTGTCCGTCCACAATTTGTTTGTGGACACTCTACAGGTCACAATTTTTATCTGATTTTGACGAAACTTGAAATATAGGTCAATCTCCCAAAGATCTCGGTTCCTTTCGATATTGGCATGTATCGGAGCATAACTTCATGGATTATGGCCCCTGATATTGTACAAAAAACCGCATTTTTAGCTTGTGGATTCTCTAGAGGTCACAATTTTTTTTCCGATTTTAGAAACCGTTTAGATATATCACCATTCCACCATAATGAAGGTTGAATTGGAATTTCGGGGAAAATCGAAATGAAACTGGCCGACAAAATGGCCGCTCTTTGTACGCAAATTGTGTATAAGTATTTAATACAAAGGTTATTGACCCTCTAGAGGTCACAATTTTTATCCAATTTTGATGTTACTTAAAACATCTTGATATTTCAAAAATCTCAGTCCCTTTTGATACTTGCGCATTTCAGACCATAACTTTCTGGATTATGGCCCCTGATTGTACAAAAAAACATTTTTGTTTTTAGCTTGTTCTCTATCCATCTCTTGCAAAATGTGGGCGTATCCTGCCTGGCAGTTGTTGGTTAACCTTTCTTCCAAAATGGCTTGTTGAATTTCTACTTAGTGGTAGGGATAAATACTTATTGGGTGTGCTTGTCCAGGTTTATTCAAATGACCATAAAGGGGTAAATTTAGACGCTATTGACTTCTTCTCCTTAAGCTCATATAGGATTTCAACTATGTTTTGATAGTACTGGCCAATGCCAATATTTTATACCATTTTGTATTCTTTTTCTAATATTATAGGCTGTACTCCATGTGGTTGTGATGTTGGTGGATCTTTAAGTATGATTTGCGATAAAACATTTGGCAAGTGCTCTTGTAGACCTAATATTAATGCTACAAAATGCGATATGTGAGTACATGATATTTGATTGCATCAAATGACAAAATTATCTTTCAAAAGATGCCATATTAAAGTTAAAATCATCAATAGTTATTATCTGCCAGTAGGAACTAGATAATTGTGTACCGATTTTCACAAGTATTGAACTACCAGTAGGCTACTGGTAAATCAATTTGCAATAAAGCCAATAAAGTAATTCTGTAATTCGTACTTGATGCTGGACTGTTCCCTATTGCCTTAAAACTATTCTTATATATTTTCTGTTTCCAGGCAAAGTCATTATTAGGGCTTCTAAAACATTCATAGATTAGTTATTTTCAAATGTCTCTAACATGAAATATCAAATTAATAGTGTTTTAACAACTATAAATACTATTCTTTTAATTATATTTATTTTTTATGAAAACTATGATTTATTTATAGGCCTAATACTGGTTTTTATTACCCAGATGTCCACTTCATATCTGCAGAGTTTGAATCTGGAACTGGAGATGCCTCTCTTAGTCAAGAACCACAGTATGCAGGATACAAAGGCTATGGCTATGCTGATTTAAAATCTGGAGTAAGTTTTTATACAATGTCAAACAAAGGCTATAGTTAATCTACAATGTCATGTCTGTTATTGTCTTGTAAAGAAGAACCCTATAGGAGACAACTAACACAGTACGAAATGATTACAAAATTTGTTCATCATAACTCTTTGCATGTTTTTCTGTCTATTGAATATTCTTTCAAACTCTATGGATTAAAACCAAAACTACTGATATATACATGTCTGTTATGTTAAAGTAACGAAGCATCATTTGCATTTTTCGATAAAACATTGAATTTTCCCGCAGCTTAATCCACACTAGTAATCAAAATACCAACGCTAGATAATCTTCCAGCTTTGATTCATTCAGATTCAAAATAGGTTCACCAATTATGTTCTCGAACAACAAAATGATGGTGGGCTTATGGGTTTGCTATAAAGATTTTTTTTTTCAGAATGTGGTTGGTGTGAATATGGTGATACCTGGGGGAACTCAATTATCATCGAAATTTATTTTTGTAATAAGGTACAGATCCACACAAGCAGCCTCTGGACTGTTAAAAATAAAAGGTAGGAAAATTTATTTGAATAGGATTGAATATAGATGGAACAAATGATTCAGTGGCACTGTACAATTCATTGCATGCAGGGCCGTCTAAACAGCATTATGGGACCTCGGGGCAAAGTAGTGCACTGGGGCCTCTACCTACACAACCCCTCACAGGAATAAAAATGCGTGTAACTGGAGAAGACATACAATAGAAACAAAAAAGTCAAAATATTCAAATGACAATATTTGAATTTTTGACAATAATTGAATTTACAAAAGATTGATATTTGATATAATTAATGTTCAACACTGTGTTACGTTATTATTTGTTTTTTTGGAATGTAATTTCCATTTCTAGGTAGTGATATACCAGAAACAACTGTTAGTTTCCCTGTATGTTCCACCGGCTGGTGTTATGTGAATACACTTAGTATCCGTAGTAATTATACACTTCCGCTTACTGCTACTATAACAATCAGAGTTCTGCAACCAATATTATTGGTAGGCTTTAGTTGTTTTTTGACTTACCTTTTTTTTTTAGCTATAAGCACTTAAAGTAAAAAAAAGGACTAACATTTTATGTTTACATATAGTTAAATGGAGTTTCAGTTAAACAATTTATTCTCTTAGGTTAGCTATACATTTATGTTCAAAATCCACCTTCAAATGTGTAAAACTTATATATTTGAATTCTCATAAACGCCTGTGTCTAATTTGAATATCCCCAATGTAACTATTTTGTAAAATCAAATTTAAGCAAATCTAGAATTATTTCCTACCAACCAACAAGGATCCTCAGATGGCCTTATGCTCCTTTTATAAGTAGATATTCGACTTTGAGCCCACTATAACTCTATTTTATATTTTCTTGGGTCTTCAGCATCCTATCATTAATTATTTAAGTACTAATGTATGTAAATGAAAAATAGTATCAGGTGTTTTAGAAAGCAAAAATATACCTGTCAGATGTTTATTGTAACCACTTCTTTAGGAAGTCTATATGAAATGAACTTTTTCACCTAAACTATAATTTCTGTAGTTTTAAAGTTTGAAAATAGAAATTATGCGTTGCTGGTTCTTACACTTGTGTTTTAGAACTATTTATTTTTCAATAGGACCAGATTGTTGCTGTGCCAGTGGAATTTAATAGTCCTGATGCCTCATTGGTAGATAGTTCATTTGGTAATGTTTGTAATGTTTTGGAGAACAGTCTTGGGTAAGTATATAGTCTTTTATTAGTATATCATTATCTAATATTTTCAGGCTTTGGATTTTTGTCATTTTTTCTCCTATACCAGAGCATTATAGCAAGGGTACTTAATTGTAAGGGCTAAATTTAATGTTTCAATGTCTTCAGTTGCAAGGTTTGGTGAATTTTAAGCAAATTTGGTAGTATGGTTTGTTTTGATTAATTATCTTTAAATAATGGACAAATGATCTGTTTTTATTTTTAAAAAAAGATAACAATGTAACAATTGATTACAGCACTTTTGTATTACCTGTGGTAATGAAATGGGGTTTAACATCCTTTTTCTGCACAAACTGTTTGATCATTTGAATTGCAATAACTATACTTTGAGTTGATAAATCTTCAATATACCAGTTTCACACAGATATTTGAACATCAATGTCATCGGCACATATTTAATAAACCTACTGCAATCTGGTTTGTTTTTGATTTAATTGTTACTTTAAAAGCTGGTAGACACAAAGCATTAACAGTTGTTTTTCTTTGAATATGTGTTTATCTTTTAAATTTTTTAGTGAAGGAAATGTTGAAGTAGAGAAATTATGTAAGAAAAGTATATATTCAATGACTACATATTATTTGAATGGTGCCCTGCCTTGTAAATGTGATCCTGAAGGTAGTTTTAGCACCGACTGCTCACAGTATGGTGGATTATGTAGCTGCAAAGTAGGAGTTGGTGGAAGGAAATGTGATGAATGTCTACCAGGATTTTATGATCATTCAATCACAGGTTGCAAACGTAAGTTGTATATACCTTTAAATGTCAAAAAATGTCTAAAGATATAAATATGTAAGCAAATTTGCTTGGGACATTGTCTTGAAGCCCATTCATGCCAATTCTGTGAATATTGTAAGTTGGTGGACTGAAATTTCAGAAGATAAAGTAGAACACTATCTTCTTTAAAAGGCATTGGTGTTATTTGTGTTGCATATTCTGTATATATTTGCCTACTATTCACATATTTGTATCATTTGCTTGATAAAGACGAGAGTATACTCATTGAAACGCTGGATAGTATTAAACTCAGTAATTGTGTATCCATAAAATTGTACCTTATATTAGAACTATATCTTTTCTGTCTAATATTTGTCTGAATATATTATATTGTATTATCATTCATTCTTAATAAATGGGGTGGGGATTTTGAAGTTTAAAATCTGTGTAAAGTTTGTCTCGGTATGAGAATGATTTGTTTTTATATTACAGCTTGTGATTGTAAAGGAACTAATAAGTTTTGTAATAAGGGAACTGGTCAGTGTGTGTGTCCACCCAATACTATAGGTAGAACATGTGATCAATGTGCTATTTATCATTGGAACTGGAATTCAACAGTTGGCTGTCAGGTAATTTATTTCATACAAATTATAAAGTCTTTTAAGTTCCCAACATTTTGTACTCTCCTGTTGATTTTTATACGCCCACATTTTCATGTGGACGGATATTGTCGTCAACCCTGTCCGTCCGGACGTCTGTATGACCGTCCATCCACCCATAATTTGTTTGTGGACACTCTAAAGGTCACAATTTTTATCCAATTTTGACGAAACTTGAAATATAGGTCTATCTCCCAAAGATCTTGGTGCCTTTCGATATTGGCATATATCGGAGCATAACTTCATGGATTATGGCCCCTGATTGTACGAAAAATCATGTTTTTAGATTGTGGACACTCTAAAGGTCACAAATTTGATCCGATTTTGATGAAACTTGAAATGCATGTTTATAACACAAATATCTTGTTTCTTTTCGATATTTGCACATATCTGATCGTAACTTCCTGAATTATGGCCCCTTGATTGTACGAAAAATCGCTTTTTGAGCTTGTGGTCCCTATAGAGGTTACACTGTTTATCCGATTTAAGAAAAAAAAACGTGTGAATACCGGTATATAACAGTTATACACTAATGATGGTTGAGTTCAAATTTCGAGAAAATCAGAAAAAAACTGACGGACATAATGGCCGCCCCTTGTACGCAAATAGTGTTAAAATATGGTATTTCAAGGTTGTGGACCCTCTAGAGGCCACAATTTTGATCCGATTTGGATGAAACTTTAAATATATGTTTTTATCATAAAGATGTTGGTTCCTTTTAATAATCATACATATCCGAACATAACTTCCTGGAATATGGCCTCTGATTGGTCGAAAAATCGCATTTTTAGCTTGTGGATTCTCTAGATGTCACAATTTTGTTTTTAGATTTAAGATTTTAGATATATCACCATTCCACCATAATGAAGGTTGAATTGGAATTTTGGGAAAATTGAAATGAAACTGGCCGACAAAATGGCCACTCTTTGTACGCAAATTGTGTATAAGCATGTAATACAAAAGTTATGGACCCTCTAAAGGTCACAATTTTTATCCAATTTAGGTGAAACTTAAAACATATCTTTCAGCCCCTTTTGATATTTGCGTATTTCAGACCATAACTTTCTGGATTATGCCTCTGATTGTACAAAAAATCATTTTTGTTTTTAGCTTGTTCTCTATCTATCTCTTGCAAAATGTGGGTGTATCCTGCCTGGCAGCCGCTGGTTTAAATAGTTAGCATAGTCTGGTTTTTGCTTTCCTTTTTGTTCCATTGCAGAAAATGACCAATTTGTATATATTCCAATTTATCAAAGCGATACAGGTCTGCGGTCTTGATAGAAATTTCATAACTTATCGATTTTCAAAATTTTAAACCTAGTGAATGTGATGCATGACAAAGTTGGTGGAGTTGTTCATTTGGGCCTGAGGAAAAACACTACCGCTATTTAATCACAAATAAGTAGTAGTTATTAGCACACTTTCCGAGGTGTATCGGTGAATATCAGGACAATTTTGGTCGAGGGGCCCAGCCGAGGCGGAGCCGGGTCGGCTCCCAACCAAAACTGTCCTGATATTCACCGATACACTGAGGAAAGGTGCTAATAAGTTACTTACATCACATTTCTATCGAGTATTGTGAAGCAAAATGTGAAAAAAAGTATTTATTATCGAGTCGTTTCAACCGAAAAGTGACAAATACTTTCTGCTCTTTCATTATTTATCCCTTTCTGAGCCTCACGTTACATTTCATGGTAGAATGATTTCGCAGTGGAGAGACGACCTGAGTAGTATTTACACGTGCGTCTTGCTATGATACTCTGAGCGTAAAACAATCACGTGTTTGTTTAGACCACATCGTCAAAACAACTTGTCTATGGCGTAGAGGACTGCGATATTATTAAATGTAGTGTAAAGGAAATGAGAAACGTGGGTCATTCCTGGTGAACGTATGCATCGGCGGATGGTTCTTCCGTTGAAATTTATTTGTAATAAAGTTTATGACTTTCTAGGCGTTTTTTTTCATCCTGCTTATTTTCAATGCCTGTGAAGTGTCCAGCAAGAGAACTGCGCCTTCTATCATCACAATTAATTAAAATAATTATTCAATATTCTAATTTATATATTTTGCATATTAATATAAATCAAACCAAATTATGAAATAGATGCCAATTGATATGTATAATAATTGATTTTTGTAATATGTTGTTATGTTAATTTAATGTCATTGTATATGTTTTTGAACTGCCATGTAGTTCCCCCCATTTTGTTTTGTTACTATGATTTTGACTAGTTGTTTCATGTACAATGTATAGAGCCATCCTTATCAATTGCGAGCTGGGTCGGACTTAACGTCCGCTACTTATTGCTTGGTAGATACTTATTGCTTGGTAGATAAAAGTATCCTTGTATCAGAAATGGACAGTACTCTTTCTGTACATTTCTGATACACGGATACTTTTATGCATGTATTGCAAATAAACAGGACAGTTTTATCAAAGGTTGACAGTGGCAACGAGTAGAAGTGGGATGTAATGGAGTATTCCACCTTGCAGGATTGGTTGACAATTAGTTTATTTTATAGACTGTTTATTACATATAGAGTGCATTATATTTTTATTTGTAGCCATGTGGATGTGATACAACAGGATCAATACAACTAGGCTGTAATTCTGCTACAGGTATATGTACATGTAAGATAGGTGTACAAGGAGAGAAATGTAACGAATGTATAGATAACTATAAAGGATTTAGTTCTAGTGGTTGTTCATCATGTTTATGTTCAACTGTAGGATCAAATGGTACGGTTTGTAATAAAACATCAGGACAGTGTTCTTGTAAGGTAAGTAATACTTGTATCTGCCTTATTGAAATGGGAGGTCCAGGCTTCGATCCTTGTGTTGACTGAGAAAGTTCATTTTCCAGCCTGGGTTCCTGTTGTCAATGGTGCAGGATAACAGGGTCTGGCAAGCACTTGCATTTGGGTGGTACAAAAAAGAAGGTTACCAACATATTGTACAATAATTCAATAGATAAAGTTAACAGCTCAATTACTAAAATACCATTACTAAATATCGATATTAAATAACATTCTTCACTAAACTTTTATGAATTCAATTCTGTCTGATCTGTAGAAAAGTTGATTTCAAGACAATATTGGTTGTTTGTGAAAGAAATTACATCAGATTGCCTATTAATTGTATAATAATTGTGATTAGAATCATATATTTTCATTTTAGAGTAATGTTGCTGGCTTGTCTTGTGATAAATGTTCTGATACATCTTTTTACTTAAATGGAAACAATGAACAGGGATGTTTAGACTGTATATGTATGGGAATCACAAAAACATGCTCTTCTAGTTCACAACGAGTAATAGTGGTTAGTTGTACACCTTTATCTTTAACCTCTTAACAGTTATACAATATTAATATAAATCTGCATGTTGTTGTACTATATTTTCAAAATATAAACAATTTGATTGCTGTTTCCAGAGTAAAAACACAACCAGTTTGAGATGTACTGCAGGGCAGATGGATTATATTCCATTATATGCCCTTTGGGCATCTCCGATTTATATTGCATATTTCTCATTGATCTAAATAAATATGTATACTAACTCAACATTCAAAGTCTAAAAATAGCACAATTGCACGTGCAGCACTGTGTCAACATACGCCTGACTATAAATAAGAGGTAAGGCTCGGCTCTGGTTGTCTTTTTCTTTTTTGATCTAGACCATGACTAGTAGTAGCGCACTACATAGTCATATTATATCGTATACTATTACTTTGCGATTTTGTTGGATCGTAGATTCAATTCCTTTTTTACGTGATCGCGACCGGTACGCTGTGCTGGTCCACATATTTTTTGTGGCGTTGTTTCACGCCCGTTTATTGCTTTATTCCATGTTGAATTTAGTAAATCTCCAAGCGATGATTTTGAGAGGTTTTGTCCGGAGAGTCTGTTTCTATAAACTTAGACCCGGACATTCTCATCCTTGATGAAGGTTAGACCTCTTGGTTGATGTAGATACGATCGGTAAAAGATAAGCCGCCATTAAATTATAAATATCTCAACCGGATGTTTACACCGGTAACGAGGCGGCTAAAGGGACAAGTAATAAATCGTATTTTTAAAAAGAAAGGTATAGTGCCTTCTAAACCTTGTGACTAAAACAAGATTCGTAATGTCCCGATCAGGTAGATAAATTCAGGCCGAGTGGTATTGCCATTACGGATACTGTGGATTCTTTTGTTTCACCATTAATTTCACTCTACCCCAATCTGTCTGTTGATTGCAGTCATTTTGACATTTTTCATGTCAGTAATAATCGTGTCGCTTGGTGTTGATAATCATTTTTTTCTATCTACGTGACCACGTGTCCTCTGTTCGGAGTGTATATTTTAATGGAAATGATTATGTTTTTACTTCTACCGCCGACAAATGGATATATAGGCCTGTTAAACATCTAAGTCCTTATACCGGTAGTTTTAGTAATAATAGCCTAGTCTTTATATATGACTATATATACTATTCAAAAAAAGTAGGGGATATTTGATTTTTAAGTGTTATTAAAGTCACCTAATGAAACTGACGAAGAAACAAATGACAAAATGAAATGAAGTTCACATTCATCGATTTATTCCAAATGATCGTTAGACTAAGTAAGGCACAGACTGACCATTATAAGGGTAAAATGATACCCGGGGTCAAACAGCAAAGTTACCACAGCATCACAACCAAGTCAGTAACGGGTAAATCCTCCTCTGTTTGCCAAACAAGCATTGATCCGACGTGGCATACTCCTAATGAGACGTCTAAGGTCATTTTGGTCCAGATTGTCCCATTCCTGTTGCAACGCAGCAGCAAGTTCTTGGACATTGGCAGGACGTTGTTGACGTTGACGTAACCTCTGTCCAAGCATGTCCCAGACATGCTCGATGGGGGAGAGGTCGGGACTCAGTGCTGGCCAAGGTAATGTGGTGATGTTCTGTTGTTGGAGGTAACCTGTAACGATCCTGGCCCTGTGACATCTTGCGTTGTCATCCTGGAAGATGAAACGGCGGCCATGACGTCGTGCGAACGGCACAACATGGACTGCCAAGATGTTGTCCCGGTAGTACTGGCCTGTAACACGCCCTGCAACAACATGTAAAGCCGTTCTTCCAGCAACAGTGATGCCTCCCCACACCATAACAGAACCACCCCCAAATCGATCTTGTTTGATGACGTTAACGTCTTGGAAGCACTCGTTTCGACGACCCCACACCCGCCTACGTCTGTCCAAAAAATCAACAGTGAACCTTGACTCATCTGAAAACATCACATTGCTCCAGCGTCGATTATCCCAGTGTTGACGATCCCTACACCAACGACGTCTTGCCAGTATGTGATGATCTCTCAAACAAGGGATCACGCGAGGACGTCGGGCGCGAAGGTGACCCCTATGCAGTCGATTCCGAATCGTCTGGCCACTCACTCTCACACCAGTGTCTGTTTGAAGACGAGCGCTGATCTGATTTGCTGTGATGACACGATTTCTCAAGGCCAAGGTACGGATAAATCGATCCTGGGCTTGAGTTGTCGCCCTTGGTCGACCTGAGCGTGGTCTGTCCTGTACAGATTGTGTATCACGGTATCTGGACCATAGCCTGCTTATGACAGACTGAGAAACATTCATCGTCCGCGCCACAACTGCCTGTGTTGTGCCGATCTGTAGCATGCCAAGGGCACGTAACCTTTCATTTTGGGTAAGCCGACGCATATCAAAATTTGTTTTCTGGTCACTAAAACAATTAAACTGATGTTTCCACCCTGGAATTCAATGCCACAATGACTGTAACATTCAAAGTCAGAGTCGTGCAAATCTTGGGTTGGACCCCCATGATGATCCCAAGCATCACCTGCATTCCATGCGGTAGCTATTGGTGCGTTTGGGCGTCACATGTAACTGGAAATGTTTCTTCTGTTAGGTTCTATAGTGACTTTTTTCGTAGTCATTTGCATATTTTAGTATTATGCCCCCAAAATCAAATATCCCCTACTTTTTTTGAATAGTATAGTTCAAATGAAAATGAAATAAATGAATAAATGGAAATAATTATGCTTTTACTTCTACCGCCAACAAATGGATATATAGGCTTGTTATGCATCTAAGTCCTATACCGTTAGTTTTAGTAATAATAGTCTTTATATATGACTATAGACAAATGAAAATGAAATAAATGACACAGTAGCCTACCAATTTATAACACTTATGTAAGAAGAGATGATTTTAAAATCAATTAGATTTTATATTTTTAACGATTTTGTTTACAGACAACAATGTTAATAATAATGTCATTGATGAGAAATAAAATGAAATGAAATGAGGTTTAACTTCTACTGTTCTTTTCCGACTGGGCTTATATAAAGACGGGGTCATTGACGAGCACAAGACTTGTCAGGCAAATTCGTCATGCAAATGCATCATTTTGTCCAGACCAATCTATGGAACCTAATGGTTCATAATTTTTGACCCTGAATCAACAGTATAATGATTTCAGTCCTGACCAGGGGTTCAGTGATTTTGTTTTTTCCCCCATTTTTCAGGGTGACAATGCAGTAAATGATTCGATCGTTAATCTATAAATTAGTTAATATGGTTACCATGAAGCATGTTGAGATAGATTAACTGGTTGTTAAAGACCCTATTTAAAAAGAAAAATTACAAATGCATGTGGCCGTATGTTGCACCTCAGGTGGACACTGACATTTGGTCAGTTTTTACTCCGTCAAGCACAGTCACAAGATGCGGCTATTCAGGATATACAGAAGATAATGGGCCTTGGTGTTTCACCCTTATTGTCATTGCTGTCAAAAAATTAAGATACGAAAAATTCTATTGCTGATTCAGTAAGTGATCCAGGGTAATACCCATTTGGAATTGTCTTTAAAACTTAGGAATTCCCTTAAACGTTATTTAAGTCGTTGATATCACCCACTCTGTTCTTCCAATCGGCCAGTCAATACGACTTTGTATAGATCAGTCAATCAATTATACATTATATGTATTATTTGGTAATCATGTTGAGTCGAGTACTAAGCAGCAATCCTTTTACAGGCCTCCGTTTTCAGGGCAGCATCAACCCAGCTACAGTAACACCTGTAGGTAATACTTTTGTAGCCAGCCACATTTCGAATACTTTTTAGGCCGTTGGTCTATCATGACATCAGATAACTGGATTCTTAATACAGTTAGCGGGTACCGGTTTGAGTTTTCTTCAACCACCCTTTCAACTTTGCTTGCCTAACCACCTCTGTATATTTCAGAGCAGATGGAGTTTGTTGATTAATTTAATGTTAAGTAAGAAGGCTTTATGTCCAGGTATTCCCTGGTTTTCATACCAATCAGTTTTTTTCTAATATCTTTTTAGTTACAGAAAAAGACTGACGATTATCGTCCTGTTATAAACCTGAAAACATTTTACACAAGAAACTTTATGCTTTGCTTCTATCAGTATAATACATAGAGAGGATTTTCTATCATTAATGGATCTAAAAGATGTTTTTTTTTTATTCATATTCGTCCAGATCATCATAAATAATATTTACATTTTATTTGAGATCAAACGGTTGAGATTACGTCTCCGTTTCAGAGTTTCCTCAGCTCCAAGAGTTCTTTCTAAAGTTTTTCAAATCAAATTTTGCAATCCTTCGCAGGCAGTGTATACATTGTTCATATTTTACAGACAATTCTATTTTTTCTTTTCCACTATCAACACTGCAAAAGAATGTGGTTTTACACACAGAAAGCTGTAAGATATTTTCGAGAGCTAGGATTTCCTTCTAAAGAAATTATTTTTTAGAATTTACTATTAATTGTCATTTATTTACTGATCTCTTACTCAACGAAGGATAAAGTCAAAACCAAGGCCAGAGCTTTATTAACATCAAACAAGCTCACTATCAGACAAAGAGTATTTTATTGGACTGTGTTCCTTTTCTACAAACAGCAATACTTTTAGTACCTTTGCCTATATAAAAGAGTAATCTAGAGCTTCAACTTGAACAGAATGTAATTATTCATATGGGTATTTCCCTCAATGACGTTTGAGTTAAACTGGTGGTTACATATATGAGTATTATAGCCACAAGTGTCGCAGCCTTTGTCTACTTCTCTTTTCTTAGGAGAGACATCTGTTAAATATGCATGATATTTTATTTTCTTTTATGTGCGCACGCTTTGTTTTGTATTTTGATATATTATGTACCCTGTATGTGGGTCTTATACTGTCGAGTTATGTGATTTAATACTTTGTACATTTTGTTCCATATGCAGGTTTCATACTGTTTATTTATGAGTGCTTTAAATTTATGTCCGTCCATATTTGTGTATCCGTCCATTTTTTTGCACCTGTATATTTTGTATATTGTATGTTGTCCTCAAGGGAGGTTCCGATGCAATATTGTGTGTCTTGTGTAATAATTGTCATATCGTTATAATCTTTATGTACACGTTTATATTGTATGCTGTTCTAAATGGATGTTTCGATGCAATAAAATCTTATCTTATCTTATCTTATAACATTAGCATTTAAAATGGTAACCATATTAGACCACTCTTGTGTCTTTACTTTGGATGCTTCTCTTTATGTATCGGGTGCTCACTCCTTATGATATTCACATCTATCTGCTTTGGAATAGTTCAGAATATCAATAAATTATCTTGAACTGCTGGCAGTTTTCTATGGATGGACATCATTGTACAGCAATTTTTCTAATACGTATATACTTGTTCCATGTGATAACACCATATCCTATAATTATCATATATTTATAATATTGGGGAACTATAGATAAATTGTTTTAAAATAAGCAAACAAATTTGGTACCGGTGTGCTTCTAGAAATATTTATCTGCTAAATATAGATCATTATGTCTCATAGCATAACAGATGCATTATCTAGACATTTTTCTGACTTCACAGAATTGAAGTTGATTAAGCACATTTTTCATAGGGTATATAATCTTATATCTGTACTGGAAATAGATCTATTTACACCACAGCTTATTTACCAAGTTGTAAAGTATGTATCTTGACAGTCTGATCCATTTTGGTTGGCTCTTGAATATGATGTATTAAAGATGAGTTGATTTAATTTTCACCAATACATCTTCCTCTTCTCACTGAAAGTTTCAGTGTAGTTGCCAAGTACCGGTATCTCAACAAAATAATCAGAGACCATGCTATAATTATAGTGCCAGGATGGCCAATACCGGTATGATATTCTAGACTCTTAGCAATGCTAATTTCTAACCCCATTCATTTGCTCCTACGGAAGGACCTCTTGCGTTTAGTTCACCATGGGATGTGCTACCCCATGGGAGGCAAAATTTTATACATGAATGCTCGTCTCAAGCAAACCCTCACTAATAGAGGACTATCACAACATGCTATTGACACTATTCTCAGGTCCTGGAGACCAGGAATTAACAAACAGTATAATCTGACCTTGAGACGATAGAATTTTTAGGCAGATTGGAAACAAATTGATCCTTTGGGTCCTACAGTAGAAAATATTGCAAATTATTTGAGTGATTTGTTGTCTAGTATTCCTATAGTGTTGCTAACACCTACAGATCAGCAATTGTTCAGACTCTGAATGTTTCAGGCAGCAGGAAGTTCAGAAACCATGCCATTATTTATTGTTTTTTGGAAGGTATTTTTAATCTTGATCCTCCAAAATCTTGTTTTGTAGCAACCTGGTGTGTTTCTATTCTATTAAATTGTTTTTTTGCCTTAGAAGGTATATCTTTGAAGCTTCTCACTTATATAACAGTGAACTTATTGGCTCTAGCTACAGCCCAAAGGTGCCACATTAAGAGCTTTTAGTATTAATCGCTTTCTAGATTATGGCAATGCTATAAGGTGAGGAAGTGAAAGTTTGGAAAATTTCTTGTCAATCTTCTCCTCTATACCAGGTCAAATTGGATTAGTTTACTGATCTACTCTCCAGTATTATGTTGAATTAACTTCAGAACTTATTGTATCTCATACATGTATTACACTCAGAGCAGTAACGCCATCTACCATTGGCCATTGGCTTAAGAAACCATTGTACTGGCAGGAATTGATACTTCTGAATATAAGCCTCATTGAATTCGTTCAACTTCCTGATCTGCATCGTTTAATTCTGGATACTCTATTTCAGACAATCTTAAAACAGTATCATGGAACAATGATAAGTTTTTTTTGTTCTACAGGAAATAATACATTTTTTTAATTATATGGATAAATTTTAACAGCCTACTATTTGTTTTCTCTTTTGTTGACAACCCTTTCAATGATGCAATATAAATCAGAGATGCCCGAAGGGCATATAATGGAATATAATCTCCTCTCATCCGAGCGCCCGAAGGGCACGTTGGATGAGAAGGATTATATGAATATATATGGTTGCCAACAAAACTTTAAAGAGACAACTAGAGCCGAGCCTTACCTCTTATTTATAGTCAGGCGTATGTTGACACAGTGCTGCACGTGCAATTGTGCTATTTTTAGACTTTGAATGTTGAGTTAGTATACATATTTATTTAGATCAATGAGAAATATGCAATATAAATCCTCGAGCCCTCGGACTTTATATATTCATATAATCCTTCTCATCCATCGCGCCCTTCGGGCGCTCGGATGAGAGGAGATTTTTCTCTATCCACTTTTTGAAAAAGACATTAAATGTATAAGTAACAGTATGCTATATCAACATTTTTGAAAAACAGATCTTATACATAAAGCTAACCCATACTTAAAATAAATAATTAGAACAAATCTTATTGTCAGCATATTTTAATTTGGTTAAAACTGTGCCGCCAAATGACAGCAGCACATCAATATTATAATTTATAATCCAAAATACATGTAAAACAGACATTAAGGCCACTGTCACTCCTTTAAAAAATTACATTCTAATTAATTATCTTGAATGGAAAACATTATGACTATGTTCTAATGTATTGTCATTTATTTCATAGATTTCCACATTGTTAACAACGAATTCTGGTACTGGTGGACAGTTAAAATCATCTAGAAAACTGAGTAACAATCAGGGCATTATCAATGAAAACATAGCAATTAATGTTATTACTTCTGATACTACACCTTATCTTTCTGTGACATTTAATGTCTCCTCATCTGAATATTGGATGGCGCCAGATGACCTAAAAGGCAACCTTTTAACCTTGTATGGTACAACCATTGACATTGAGATTTTATACACTGGTAGTGGTGTAGCTATGCCACCACAAGCTATTATGGTTGGACAGAAAGGTCGCTACATTCATAATTTTGGCACAAGCATAACCGCAGATACAAGGCACTCACTAAGCATACCTTTATCAGAAAAATATTGGGTAAAAGAAGGAACTTCAACTGTTTTGTCAAGAAGTGATTTTATTCTAGCCATTAGTGAAGTTAAATATATTTTACTGCCTGCTTCTTTTCTCGGTGGAACACATACATCCAAGTAAGTTAGATTTATATCTATTAGGTTTAACAAAAATTGTACTCTTCTATCAGATACAGTTTCATGTTCTTCATGTGCATAAATATCCTGAAATGGTTTAAACAGATATACAGTCTGCTCTCCTAGTCTACAGGGTCTGATCTGAGAGACGAAATTAAACCAAAATATTACTGTAAAACAAGAAATCCATGTATGGAGAGTGTCATATTTTCAGCTAACATTTAATATTTTGAAAAATGTAGTAAACCAGAATTAACAGTAATTCTTCCTAAAAACAAATCATTTCCAATATCACTAAAACATTTTTGTAAAATACAGTTTATATAGAATGGTTTACTCTAAAAAGGAAACAGTGGGATCTGTAAATCCTAGTGTTGAGAATTGTATTTGTGGGACCAATTATACTGGATTATCTTGTGAGGTAAGATAACATAATAGAACCCTGGTGACGGTACACTTTATGTTGTTTATTGGTGGAAGAACAAGTCTGGGCTTAGTCTTTATCACTCCAGTCCAGATCATCTCTACTTTGACAAAATCAAATTATTAGTCTGTAGTTCTGCATATGACTTGCAGAAATGTTGTCTCCATCCAACAGTTAACAATGCATTCTGAATATTTCAAATACAAGGTGATGGGCAATTTTTCCTCTCCATCAGTCGTAGCATGGTACATTATGTATTTACAAATTTAGCACTTTTTGTCCAGATGAATGTTTTAGTCAAGACAATTAAGGCTGAGATCATCAGGACCAGATTGGGCTATAGGCTTTATATATGGAGGTTCAAGGCTTGCTTTCTATATCTTCCCGTTTCTTGTTTGTTTTAACTTGGTAAATTTATGAACCCTTCTAGAAAATGTTTCTTACCTGAAACTGTATGTCTATGCATCATTATTTATCTGCTCATAACAAGTTTCAGTTTGAAAAGATTTGCTATTTTTACTTCGAAATAAATGCTAAAGCTGGATTGTATTTTCATTTGTATTTGGAAACCCAATATAAAAGCCGAGCTCTGGCTTCAATATTCTCTTGGATTGGGGATTATGGCTGTAATTTGATGTTAATACTTTCAAGAATTATTGTTATTGTACATTATATCGTCGGTGAAGTGTCAAAAGGGTGTATCTAAGAATTTCTAAAGATTAAAAATTGAACTTTTTGCATTTCAAAATTTCCACAAATCAAGATACAACATTTGGACACCTGATACCCAGAACAGTTCTAATTGGCGTAGAGATACACAGCTTAGACAGAAATGTACATATTAATTGGGAGAGTTTAAAAATGCAAAAAAGTGTATTGACTAATTTCCCCGAGATACACCCTTTTGACACTTGACCGACGATATGCACCCTGTTGGATATTGAGGTAATATGGAGTTTTTCCCCTTGTGTCAATTCTTGTCGACAAGCTGGAGTTGAGACATTGTGCCCTATTGTATTTAAGGTTTAATTTGTAGCTATCATTTACTAAGTTATTTAGACAAGCTGGAATGAAATTGCATTAAATGTGCTGGGATGTATTATTACTTCATATTGATATGCTCTTTTGAAGTTGCAGAAATATGGATGAAAGGAATAGTAGTTATAAGTGTATTTCTTTAATCATGTAAGGATTTTAAATTGTGTTTCTGTCTTTCCTTCCTGTTTGGCTAATCTGTTCTAATGCAATAACAGATCCATCAGGTATATTAACAAAAATCGGAAAATATATTCTACTTATAGTTCTATCGTAATCACAGCCTCTACCTTACATCAATCAGATTGGCTTGAAATGCAATGCTGTACATGCAGTGTAATATGTTGAGTTGTGCATGTCTAGAAAAATATATTCTTAATATGTCTAATAAACTTGTGTATTTTTTAGTCTTGTGCTGAAGGATATAAAAGAGAAAATGTCACAAGCCACCCTTATCTAGGAATATGCACAAAATGTGAATGCAACAATCATGCTACGAAATGTAACCCAACAACAGGTGAATGTCTGGAATGCCAACATCAAACAACAGGTAAATTTTACAAAATAAAGATAAAATCGAAATGTATCCTGTTGAGTCAAAAATGCCTTTGGTTTAATTGATCATGCATTTTGGAATTTTGAACATGTATACATGGATGTTTGGGGTTTGAATCGGGAATACATGATGACACATTAAATTCCGTTCCATTCCAAGCCAGACCCAGGTTTGCAGGACCCTTTTTCACTCTACTTTGTTATGATATAGAACCACTTTGAATTGTGACACGTTTTCTTCTTTTATTTATAGGTTCAAATTGTGAATCTTGTCAAGCTGGATTTTATGGTGACGCAACTCTTGGTACACCAGATGATTGTAAAGAATGTACATGTTATGAGCCTAGAGTATCTAATTCAACATGTGATATACAGTCCAAATGTTTATACTGTAATCCAGGTTATATTGGTGATAATTGTGATAAGTAAGTTAAATAAATCTACTTACATCTATGCATTGTATTTGATATTTTTTTCAGCTTGTTTTGTAAACGCTTTACAATTCTGAATCTTCCTCATTGACATAACAGTCAAGGAAAAAAAGAGAGGACCAGAAGTGTCAAAAGTGCAGATGATGTTTCACTTGTTACAATCACTAGATAATACCATTTGTGGTGTCAATGAAACAGTTAACGTGAATCAAGAAATGTTCTAGTCAAATAAGAATTCAAACTTTTATGGCCAGCTTTTGGATGGAATATTTTTTGAAAAATTGATTTGTAAAATATAAAATTCAATAAATTCACTTCAAACATTTTACTTTAAGATGAAGAAATTTGTGTGGTTTAAAACATAGAACGTTTATTTCTTCTTTTTTTTTTCAGTTGTGATACATTTTATTATGGTAATCCAAAAATTTTATATACTGGTACATGTAAAAAATGTGATTGTAATGGAAATAGCAATTCATGTGCAAATGGTCTTTGTATAGACTGCAAAGAAAATACTTTTGGTGACCATTGTGAGAGATGCAAGGATGGCTTTTTTGGCAATGCTACAATGCAAAATTGTTCTGGTAGGTAATTTCCTTCCTTCTGGATAACTTCTTACTACACATAAAATTCTTGTTTTAAATATAATTACTAGTGTTACTGAAGTGAAATTGTGATGGTCTAGACTACATATGTTGGGAGATGTTTATGAATTATAAGCATTTTGTACAGTCTAGATGAATGCAAAGTATAGCAGTTGCCATGATAGAGTTTATTGTTACAATTCTGAAAGAAAACTGTGTGTTTATTTGACTTAATTCCACTATTTTTGTGTACATATTATGTTATTAACACCTGGTAATTGTTTTCCCTGTGTATATAAATTTTAAATGTTATTTTGCAGCATGTGAATGTGATTCCAGGGGATCAATTGATACAGATAAATGTGATTATGATAGTGGTCAGTGTCCTTGCCATAGTGGTGTTGGTACCAGAAAGTGTAGCGCCTGTGAAACAGGTTACTGGGGTTTCAGTGATATAACAAAACCAGGTATTATACTGTAATAAATATTGGCTACTTGAACTATATTCCACAATTCATCAAATATTTTTATATTTATGGTCACTTATAAATCTTCAATTCAACAAGTTATTTTATAACATTTCCTTACTAGCCACCCCACATTCTAGCCAGATGTATATAGATCCATTATGTGGTTTAGAAAAGAAATCAAAAATGACTTAACTTTTTTTCTGTGGTTCTATCCAATCTAATATCAATAATTGTAAAGCATATTTTTGTAAATGAAAAAGAGATTATATTTGTAGTCTTTATGTTATTTTCTTAGGTTGTGTACCATGTGAATGTATAGAAGCAGGTAGTGAAACATTACAGTGTAATGATAATGATGGTAAATGTACATGTAAACCTAATACTAGTGGTGATAAATGTTCTACATGCAATGCTGGTTATTTTGGTTTACCCCTCCAGCCTTGTGAAAGTAAGTAACTTGTTTACAGAAGTAAAGGGAACCATGGTGACTCAATGAGTAAGGTGTTGGCTCACTAAGCAGGAGGTCCTGGGTTCAATCCCAGTGTTGATCGAGAAAGTTCCTCAGGATTTTTCATCCTGGTTTCCCCTTATCAGTGGTGCAGGTCAGAGGGCCATGCAAGGATGGGACGGAAAACTGAGGTCCATTGTACATGTAAGCCTGCACATATAATAAATCTTGCCATTTGAAATTCTACGAGTGGTAGACAGAAACACTGCTGTCAGTGTCGGGGCACAATTTCCCTCACAGCACACTGCATGATCTATTGCCATCTTCATTCATTAGCAGGGCCATTACATGGAGGGTTGGGGGGGGGCTGAGAGGGTCATATGCTCGTGGTGACACGACACTTCTTGGGGGGTGGCAAATTATCCAAGTGCATACCAGAAATCCCTTTATGAATATTTATGGACTGTGTAAACCAGTTCATATTTCAGCAAAAAGAGAGCATAGAATTATGATTTTTCCAAAATATGTTATAGGGTTTTTCGATCAAATGGAGGGTTGAAGGGGAAAAAACATAAAAAGTTTACATATAAATTGATTTAATAAATAGTTTATGGACATGGGCAGAACAATTTTTTTCTGGATGGTCAAACAAGGTTGGCATTTGCCATGGTTAATCATGCCTGCACATTATTTAAAGTACTGTTTGTTTAGTTGATGGATAAGATTTGGATTTCTGTGATTTACCAGAAAGACGCATTAAGATTGGGTCTAAAATTAAAGATGTTCTGGATGACAGAGTTGGTGGTTGGCATATATTTGTGCTCTTATAATGTAAAGCAAATTATTCATTTCCCTTCTTCTTATTAATTGTTAAATACATAGTACTGTTCTGTTTAATTAGATATGTTCCTTTAAAGGTTTGTTGGGTTAAGGCCTCAATGAACCTGACAGCCAGTGATCAGTTTTATACGCCCACATTTAATGCGAGTTGTAGGTCAATTTCATTTTTCTTTGGTGTTCTTGTCAGTTTTGTTTCAATTTTGCATTGATTTTTTTTGTGGGGATATAAAAGAAATTTATCGAAATTTTGATCACAAATTTAAGAATTATCTCTTCATTTACGTTCATACTTATAAATTCTAGTGAACGCGATTCAGGGTCAATTCTTTATAGAACTTTTTATAACTTGGATTCTTTGTTAGTGTATAAGGAAGAACCCATCAATTTTTTGATTGAAATTTTCTGTGTTTGCCAATTTATAATTTTTTGATCGCAAATTGCGGAATTATCTGATTTTTTCTGTTCCTATTAAATAAATCTTTTCAATTAAAATTGTTAAACTAAGTGAGATTACTCATTGGGG